GACATGGACACGTATCCTATCTCGACGGAGTTGCAAGACCGCTGTGTGAACATGATCGCCCGCCTTGTTAACGCTCCCATCAAGGACGGCGAGCCCGCCATTGGCGCTGGGTGYATCGGGTCCTCGGAGGCGATTATGCTCGCCGGGTTGGCGTTCAAGAGGAAGTGGCAGAACAAGCGCAAGGAACAGGGACTGCCGTACGACAAGCCCAACATCGTGACGGGGGCGAATGTGCAAGTGTGCTGGGAGAAGTTTGCGCGGTACTTCGAGGTGGAGCTGAGGGAGGTGAAGCTGAGAGAAGGCTATTACATCATGGACCCGGTGAAGGCCGTGGAGCTGGTCGATGAGAACACCATCTGCGTTGCCGGCATTCTCGGCAGCACCTACAACGGCGAGTTCGAGGACATCAAGTTGCTGAACGACCTCTTGGTGGAGAAGAACGCGCAGACCGGATGGGACACGCCCATCCACGTCGACGGCGCCAGCGGCGGTTTCATCGCCCCGTTCATTTACCCGGACCTGGAGTGGGATTTCCGTCTGCCTCTCGTGAAGAGCATCAACCTCAGCGGGCACAAGTACGGGCTCGTGTACGCTGGTGTAGGGTGGGTTGTGTGGAGGAGCAAGGAGGATCTGCCCGAGGAGCTCATCTTCCATGTCAATTACCTTGGCACCGATCAGCCGACTTTCACTCTCAACTTCTCCAAGGGCGCCAGCCATCTCATTGCGCAGTATTATCAGTTCATYCGCCTCGGTCATAACGGATACAAGCGCGTGATGCAAAACTGCAGAGAGAATGCCTTGTACCTGCGCGATTCCGTCGAGGCGACGGGGTATTTCAACATCCTGTCGAAGAGAGAAGGTGTTCCTCTCCTCGCGTTCTCGCTGAAAGACAGAAGCCAGTTTGACGAGTATGACGTGGCGGATAATCTGAAGAGATTCGGATGGATTCTGCCAGCCTACACGATGGCGCCGGACGCTCAGCACGTGACGCTCCTCCGTGCTGTGGTGCGAGAGGACTTCAGCAGAACCCTGGCTGATCGGCTTGTGCGTGACATCATCCGCACCATTGATTACCTCGAACACCGTGCTGCTAAATCTACATCGCTCGTTCCAATCAAGCCTCTCTCCGCTGCGGAAAACGTGAACAGGATTGGCCACGATTTTCTCCGACGACTAAGGGAGAGTGCAGCAAAGGCGAAGTCGCAGGGTGTCTGCTAGTCCGCCACCACCTCTACTCCTCTCTCTCTCTCTCTCTCTCTCTCTCTCTCTCTCTCTCTCTCTCTCTCTCTCGCGGTTGGTCTTCACGCCGTGGTGGATGATTACAGTCTCTGTTGTTGGGATTCGATCACCTCTCTCTCCCAGCGTTAGCGTGTGTGTTCTCTCCGATTTTCGGCTCTCTCATTACGCTATTCGGCTTCCTGTCGCCTTACCCCACTCTCTCACTACCCCTTTCCTCTGTTCCTCGTCTCCGGCACCACCACCTCCACTTCTCTCTCTCTCTCTCTCTCTCTCTCTCTCTCTCTCTGTGGATCACCTCTCTCTCCCACCGTCAGCGTGTCTGCTCTCTCCGATTTTCGGCTCTCTCATTACGCTATTCGGGTTCCTCAACTTCCTCTCTCCTTCCCCCACTCTCTCACTACTCCTTTCCTTTGTTCCTCGTCTACGGGACCACCACCTCCACTCGTCTCTCTCTCTCTCTCTCTCTCTCTCTCTCTCTCTCTCTGTCTCGCTATTTGGTTTACGCGCTCCTTCCCCCAGTCTCTCATTACCGCTTTCCATTGTTCCTCGTTTTCGGGACCATCACCTCCACTCATCTCTCTCTCTCTCTCTCTCTCTCTCTCTCTCTCTCTCTTTGTGTATCCCACTCTCTCTCCGCTCTTGTCTCTCTGTCTCTCCCTCCTCGCCGTTGATCTCCACGCGGTGATGGATTATCTTCACTCTCAGGAAGGAAGAACTCTCTTTCCCATCATCATTTTGTGTCTGCTCTGCCCGATTTTCTCTCTCCTTCTCTCTCTGTCTCTCCCTCCTCGNTCTGCTCTGCCCGATTTTCTCTCTCCTTCTCTCTCTGTCTCTCCCTCCTCGCCGTTGGTCTCCACGCGGTGATGCATTATCTCCACTCTCAGGAACGAAGAACTCTTTCTCCCATCATCATTGTGTCCGCTCTGCCCTATTTTCGGCACTAACCCTTCTCCACTAGATTGAACGCTCTCCTACCCCCACAATGCCCACATTTTCGGTGTCGCTTTTCTGCGTTTCTTGGTTCTGGTTTCGCTTTCGTTGGTTTTTCCTTAGTCGTATTTAACTGCTTTTTCTTTTTCTTCTTTTTTTTAATCACAGCTCACGTTCTTAACTACTTTATGTTCCACAGTACTCGATCTAATCCCGTTGTCTCCAGCAAGTGTATTGTGTTTTGGAAGACAATCTGTCTCTTCGGCTGCAGCAAATAGTTCATGTTTGGGATAGCTTCTTAATAAGCTGCTTCTGTTCAGGAGGCGTTTGCTCCTTGGCCTTCAGGAGGGGATAGCTAGCTCTCTGTAGCTCGGCTCACACTGTTGTTGATAATTTGTAGATGATCTGCTCACACCCAGTTGTTGTTGGGGGAGGGGGGGGGGGAGGGGATTACGGCCCGCCGTGACCCTTTTTTCTCTTGGTATTTGCGATGGGTTCCCAATAAGCTTCTTATTCTGGAGGGGTTGCTTCATGCTCGTTACGGGGCGTGGACAAAAGAAGCTTTCTAGCTCTTTGTTTTTTTTTTTCTTTTTTTTTTATTTATAAATAAGCTTTGTATTTCGGGTGGCACCTTTGCTGATAGCTCGTGGATGCTCTCTGCTTACACACAGCTGTTGGGAGGGGAGGGGATTACGCTCTGCCGTGGCCTGTCTTTCCCTCACGTTATTTGACACGTGTTCCTAATAAACCGTGACCTTACTCCTGAGGCGTTGCTCCTTTGTCGTCCGTTACTTCAATTCTCTCCCATTTCATCTCCCTACTGCCATACTCCCTTTTCTCTTCCACGGGTGAGGTGCTTGCTGTTGTTCTCTACGCCGTCTTCTTCGCTGAAAACCATATCCCGCTGCTGTCTCTGTCGCTGTAGTCGTTTCGAATGACCGGTTTATCCGCTAATATGTTTTCGATCTTCGGGGAAAGAATCTGTCATCGACGTGATCCATCTTCAATTTTCACTGTCCCTGCCTTTTTCTCCCTGAGTCCTTGTTGCTTCCTCATCGTACTACTATCCTTTTGGCTTTTTTTTTTGTTTTTTTTTTTGTTTTGCGTTTGTTTCTTTTGATGTGCGATAATGAAAAGGAAAACTCTGTCATCGATGTTATCCGATATCCCTGCTGTGCCTGCCTCATGCTCTTTTTTGCTCTCCCTTTTTTTTTTTTTTTTTTTTGGAAGAAGATCAATCTTTATTAGTCGTCAAAGCCAGGAAGCGGGCCCGGCGTCCCTCACAAAAGGTTGCCGCAGCCCTGGGCTGAGCGAGGCACTCCGGCCAGGCAAAGCTCATGCCACGGCTGTGCAGAGGGCCACAAACCTTCTTCTCTTAATCTCTTCCACCTATTCTCTCCTCGTTGCTTTTTTCTGTTTTTTTCTCGATATCCACCTTCCCATGCTTTCTTGTTGCTCTCGTGGTTGGTCCTTTTTTTTTTCCGTTTTGTTTTTGTTTTTGTTGGACGTCCTAAAATTGCAACAATACTTTCGGTTCTATGAAAAAGGAAAAAAAGCAGGAAAAAAAAAAAAAAAAAGCCTTCGACGTTATCCACCTTCGTTGTTCACTATCCTTTTTTTTTTTTTTTTCTTTCTATTTTTGTTGTTGAAACTCGGATGCATTCCATGGGTCTCGCCGCACGGCACACGCAACGAGAACGAAACGAGTGCATCTGCCCACGAAAGGTGGCAAAATACACTCGTTACGATTTATAGCAAACCGATGGACCTTGTCATTTTCTGCGGGAAGATGCACTCGTGTCGTTTTTCGTTTCGTGTGCCGTGCGGTGACTCCCCTTGTTTGCGCCTCTCGCTGCAGTCGCCTTCCTGGTGCTCTCCTATGATGTTCCTTTGTTTTCTTGTTTTTTTTTTGCTTTTTTTTCTTTTTTTTCCTTTTCTTTTTGGAACTCTTCGGCATTCTTGTCTGTGCCTCTCGCTGTAGGCCAGTCTCCCTGTCGCTCTCTTCGTTCGAATCTCTAACCGTCGTGGTCTGATCCCTCGCCCGCCTTTCTCTCTCCTCTTTGCCCCAGACTGAATCCCCTTGATCCATGACCGCGCCGGTCGTGACCGCGGTTTTCGGTCATGCCCGGAGGGTCCTGGTCATGGAAGATGGTGGTCTTTTTGTTTTGTGTGTGCTCTTCCCCTTTCGCTCGGTCCTCTCCCTCTCCCCTCCCTTCCTCTCCATCTCTTCCTGTCTGTCATCTTCTCTTAAATCTCTTGTGGCGTTTTACCTTGCCTTCTCTTTTCCTCGCACCCTGTGCCTCTCTTCCATCCTTTCGCTTCCTAATTCTACTCCTACCTCCCCCTTTTCTTTTCTTTCCCTCCCCCTCCTCTACCCTTCTCTCCTTCTCTCTCCATGTTCTCTTCTCGTTCTCTCTCTTTCTCTCTCATCCTCTCGTTCTCTCTCATTCTCTCTCTCTCTCAGACACTTGCGTGACGGCTTTCCCTTCCCATCCTTTCGCTTCCTAATTCTATTCCTACCTCCCCCCTTTCTTTGCTTTCCCTCTCCCTCCTCTACCCTTCTCTCCTTCTCTCTCCATGTTCTCTCGTTTTCTCTCGTTTTCTCTCGTTCTCTCTCTCTCTCTCTCTCTCTCTCTCTCTCTCTCTCTCTCTCTCTCGCTCTGTCGCTTGCTTGACGCACTGGCCTTCTCTGTTTTCTGTTGTCTGAAATGAAGTGAAGTAGATGAGAATTCTTCTTCTTCTCTCTCTCTCTCTCTCTCTCTCTCTCTCTCTCTCTCTCTCTCTCT